TAATTGCAAAGGTCTTGCAATTTGTGCCTTTTAAAGGTTTCGTATCATTCTCACCAATAGTCAATTTATAATTATAAGTATTTAGGCTGTATTCGAAACTGCTCCATCTCTAAATACATAATTAAAAAATGACCTTGTATCTTGTGAACTACTGACATTTTTAAAGATATAAGCTCATCTCGATGTTACACTCATCGAGACCTTTCATTTGAGTACCCACATCAGTTTTTCATATATTTATATATATGTATATATGAAAAATATATCAAAATGCATGTGGGTACTCAAATGAAACGTTCTTGATGAGTCTAACATCGGGATCAGCTTATATATTTAAAAACGTCAATAGTAAAAAAAGTACAGTGTAATTTAACAACAGTAATTATTTAACAAAACAAAATTTTATTTATTTTTAGTTCATATAATGACTGCAAGGGTGCTAGTTTCAATAGTTTAATTTAACTAAAGAACTATTTTATTACATAAATAAGCCGCAAAAATAAGCTTTTTTATCCTCTCAATTGTATGAGTTACTCAAAAATGAATAAATATCAATAAAATAATTAAAAACTAAAAAATTCATCAGCAGTTAATAAAGCTTATTAAATATTTCAAACATTTCTATCAACAATAAACAAGCTGGATTTATCAAGTGCTGAAATATTAAAAATTTTTATTGAATCGGAATAAATCCCTTTTGCAATGCGCTAAATTTCATCGAGATTTATGAGATGCATCGTGAATTTTATAAAATCCATAAATAAATTCAACTTACATCTGTCAATAGCTCGGTGCATATACACACAACAGAGCTTTTTTATCCTTTAACATTTTATTACCCTGGTTGTGTTCTCTCGTGAGTACCCACATCAATTTTTCATATATTTATATATATTATAAATATGTATATATGAAAAATATATGAAAATGCATGTGGGTACTCAAATGAAAGCTCTTCATGAGTGTAACATCGGTAAGAGCTTATATCTTTAAGAATGTCAATAATTAAGAGCTGACATTGCTATCTTGTTTACTAATGATATTTTCAAAGATATAAGCTCACCCCGACATTACACTCATCAAGACCTTTCATTTGAGTACCCACATCAATTTTTCATATATTTATATATATTATATATATAAATATATGAAAAATATATCAAACTGCATGTGGGTACTCAAATGAAAGCTCTTGATGAGTGTAACATCGGGATGAGCTTATATATTTAAAAATGTCAATAATTAAGAAAATACAGTGCAATGTAACATTTAATAAAGCAAAATTTTCTTTATTTATAGTTCGCAAGTCACGGCAGTCACATAGTGACTGCAATGTTACTAGTTTTAATTAATTGAAAAACTATTAGATAAAAAAAATTGATAAATCAAAAATAAAAATTGAATAAAACAAGTTTTTATATTATATATCAATAGTCTTATATTTTTTTAGATATAACAGCTGATCCATCAATTATCGAGTGTAATATGACAATAGTGTAATTGATGAGTGATGATCCAGTGATATAATTATATTATGATAGAATGAGTATGAATTAACTGTTTATATAGTATTGCTTCACGTGATCGACATAATTGTGATTGAGCACCACCTTTGCTTAATTTAATAACATATTTCATACATTTTATTTACTTAACTTTACATAGTTTTTATTATTTCATTTTTATTTATATTTTACTTTACTTTTATTTGAGATCACTTATTATTTATATCTAGTAATTCACTCATGTCGCTCAAGAAGATGTAACGTCACGTAAATATTTACTTTATTATTTTTTTTTTTTTTATAAAAAATCAGTTAAATAATATTTATTATTTATTTTCATAGCGATAACTTTTATTAATTATTAAATAATCATATATTAAAAAACATTACTTAGTAACTAAATTTATTCTTATATCTATCATTTATAAATATGACAGTGTGACAAATTATGATAATTACATTATACATCGTTTATAAAAATAAAAATATACAATTACATAAATCGCTTAAATTATAAATGCAAAAAATTTTTTTATAATCAATATTATTAAGAGATCAAGAAAAATTTTGTCTCTAAGATTTATAATGATAAGGATTTAGGCTGCATTCGAAAATGCTCTATCTTTAGATACATAATTAAGAAATTACCTTGTGTCTTATGAAATATTGATATTTTTAAAGATATAAGCTCATCCCGATGTTACACTCATTAAGACCTTTCATTTGAGTACCCACATCAATTTTTCATATATTTATATATATTACATATATGAATATATGAAAAATATATCGAAAATGCATGTGGGTACTCAAATGAAAGCTCTCGATAAGTGTAACATCGGGATGAGCTTATATCTTCAAAAT